GCTGGGGGCGCAGCGGCGCGGGCCGGACCCCGCGGCGGAGGAGGATCCCCGGGTGGAGGGGCCGGGCCGAGGCCGGTTCCCCGGGGAAGGTGCGGCGCGGGCAGAGGCACCCGAGCGCCCGGGCGAGCCGAGGAAGGGGCGGTCTGGAACGCTAGGCCGAGCGCGGGCGCGTCCCGTGGACAGTGGTGGCGGGAACTGGGTTTGGGGGACACAGGCGAGGACGGGGGACGGGCAGGGGTGGGTGCGTGCCTCGGACTGGCCCTGGCGGTCTGCATGGCTGCCGCGAGCGGAGGTAGGAATGGCGGGAATGGTGGCGGCTCTCGAGGGATTTGGCGTCAGGCGGCCCGAGGGCTCGAGGAGGCGGCGGCCGTGGGCCGGCAGAGCTGAGATCCCTGTGTTGAGCTGCCCCGACTGTGCCGTGGGAGAAGGAGGGAGACCCAGGGCTGGGTCCTGGGCTTGCGGAGTCGGGGCCGGCAGAGAGGAGCAGGTGTTCGTGGCCCTCAGGGAGGGTGGGCCACAGCTCGAGCCAGCTCTCCGTCCCCATGCTGAGGCAGCACCTCCTCTCCTGGGCTCTGCCCCCACCAGGGCCCTCTCCCCTCCTGCGGGGCGCTCAGGCCGCCTCCACTCCACTCCGGCTCCCCCGGGTGCCCCGGCCCCGGGAACCATGGCGGAGAGCTCTGTGGAGCACCGCGGGCCGGGGAGGCTGTTGCAGGGTCGGGGCGTCCTCACTGGCCCTGCTTTGGCCGCTCCCGGAGGCCTTGGGTGGGGCTGGGGAGGCTGGGCCCTGTGGGCAGCCCCCACTCCGAGCCGGCAGATCCACGCCAGTCCACAGCCACGGTGTCTGTCCCTCCTTGTCCTGCCCTTGCTTTTGGGGGTCTCCCAGGCTCCCCCCAGTCCTAGTGTTTCTCAGGCAAAACCCAGCCACTGCTTCCCCATCCGCGTCCCGTCTCCTCAGTGCTGAGCTGGCTGCGCCGTGAGCTTCCCTGTTGGTTGCCTCGAGGAGGCTGGGGACAGCCCGGACACCCCTGGCGGGAGGCGGGCGTTGGGCCAGGCTGACCTGGCTGGTCTTGGGGCTGTGAAGTGCAGACCCCCAAATACAGCCGGGGTCCTACCTCCGGGAGTCCGCGGTGGACCAGGGCAGTCGCAATGACTGCCTCGTGGGCAACCCGATGGGTTGGAGATTTCTTTCAGTGTCCTCATCTGCGTTCTGGTCTTGCCTCCCCGACTCACTCCCTAGACAGGTCGCAGCCCCCCGGAAATCCGCTATCTCATCTGTAGAACAAGGACGATCTTAGCAATGCTTAATGTGGAAAGGCTTTGACTTGGAAGCGAGCGGGGGAAGGTTTAGGGCAGACCAGAGGGCCGGTTAGGGGTGCGTGCTGGAGCTGGGGAACCGGGGAGGGAGGGTGTTACCCTTGAGGGTCAGGGGACACCACAGGGATTCCTGGTGGCAGAGGGACATGTGAACAGTGGTTGGCTTGGGAGCAAGCATGTGGCTCGAGGTCATCAGTCCTGCCAAGTCCAGGTGGGGGCCTGGGCAGCGCCTGCCATGTGGGACCAAAGCCCCTGGTGGTGCTCAGCTGTCTTGACACCCCAAAGGTGGTCTTGGTACCCTGTCACCAACCTAATTCCTGAGCTACCTAACCCCAAATGAGTTAGAATTGCTATCTCAACCGTTTTTGCGGGTTCTGTCTTGTCTGGTGTAGTGCAAACTGGGCCCTGAGCACACAGGAGAGCAGAGGAAGGACAGGCAGACAGACAGACGGATGGATGAAGGCGGGAAGCACAGGCCGAGGGGATTTGGGGCATGTGTGGTGGGGAGGCTGCAGAGAGGAGACCGCACAGGCAGGAGCTGAGCTGGTCAAAGGGAGGGTTCTAGCCCCCAGGGGAAGGGTCTGGGCCACTGACAGGAGGGGCTTGGCCCGAGGGCCTTGGTCCCAGGAGGTGGGTGGTCTGGAGGTTGCAGGGAGCAGAGGGTCTGAGATGGGGAAGGAAATGGAGCTGGGTGGGCTACAGAGAGGAGTGCCCACACAACTGCCCACCTCCTGCACCGGGCCTGGGGCCCTGGGTGGTGGGAAGGGGCAGTTCCATGGCAGAGAGGGAGGCCAGCCCCTGCAGCCTGGACACTGTGGCTCCCGCCACAGGGGAGGATCAGGTGGAGGGAGAAGCAGGAGAGCAGCTGCCCCTTGGCCCAGCACAGGGGGCGATGGGAGTCCTGGGAAAGCAGGACCCCGGCCTTGAGCCTCGGCAGGCCTTTTCTCTGCTAGAATCTTATCTCCTCTCTCTCTTTACCTCCTTCTCCACATCCCACCCAGATGCCCCCCCTCTGAATCGCCATGGGGATTCTCTCAGGCCCCACCCCTCCTGCAGGACAGGCCTGTTCTAGGAGTCACTGGGCAGGGGCGGCTGCTGCCCTTCTGTGCCCCACCCCTTGGAAGCGCTGCTGCAACCCTGGTCTTTGTCATCAGCTGTCACCTGGCGGAGAGGCTGCCAGAGTTGGCCAAGCAGAGGGAGGCCAGTAGTGTCACTTGATGCCTCCTCTGGTGTCTGGGCAGGAGACTTCTCCCCAGAGGCCCCAGGCTGGTATCTGTCTGCCCCTGTGTCACAGGAGGACTCGCCTCTGGCCCCTCAGTAGGCTCTGCAAACCCTGAGCCAGTCTTGGGGAGGCTGTGCAGTGGGAAAGAAGCAGTGGCCAGTCTCTGCTAGGTCACCCTGCCCTCCTGTCAGCCTCGGGGCTGCCTTGTCACACCTGCCCAAGGACCCACCGGCCGGTCCTCACCCCTCCCACCCTCGGTGTAGTCACTCTGGGGCTTCCTGAGGCCCTGCACCCAGCACCATCCCTTCAAGCCTCCCGAACTGTCCCGCCCAGGCCTACTAGGCTCTGTGTCCTCGGGGCCATCTAGAAACACTCCCTTGTCCCCACTTCAGCGGCATAGTACCTGTCGCCTGCCATCTGAGGGAGGTGCAGGTGCCGATCCTTCACGTAACCTGATGTGCCTCACCGCAGCCTTCATACACGTGAGCAGCCTCATGCAGAAGGGAAGCTCTGCCCGGGTCTTGGGGACTATGACATGGAGCAGGAGCCGCCCCCAGCCAGGCTGCTTTCAGCACAGCGTGGGCCCACAGCACCTTCATGTGGGGTGCGGCCCTTGGAGGAGGGCTGTCAGGTGAAGCATCCTGTGAGGGGGTGAGTGGCCTCCAGGTGTGGAGGGGTGGGGCTGTGACCTCCCTGGCCCCTGGCCTGGACACATGGGGGTGTGGGGAGCAGGAGCTGCAGCCCCCAGTGCTGGCCCTGGGGTGTAATGTGGAGGCTGCTCTGTGAGGCGGGCTCAGGGCCTTAGTCTCCAGCTGCACGGAGCTCGGTCTCGGCCCCATCTTGCCCACATCCTGCCACCAAGAGCAGAGAGCTGCAGCCGCACCAGGGCTGTGGGGGAGGGGTGCCAGGCATCTCTGGGTCCTGGGCCCAGTCTGCACCCAGCACCTGAAGTGGGGGCCACCAGGCAGCCCCGGAGGGCAGGAAGGAAGTGGAGCCCACACTGGGTGGACGCTGGGTGGCTACTTGCCGCTGGGCAGTGAGGAAGGCACCTTTGCTGAAGAGTTTGGGAGGGGTTCAGGGATCCTGTGGCCCTAGTTTGGGCCACCCCAAAAGCCAGTCATAGCGGGGGCCCTCGACCTGCTGTGCCCCTGCTGAGCCCCACAAGCCACTTGCTGATGCTTCTCACAAGCCACTTGCTGATGCTTCTCAGTCCGCCCCGTGCCTCTCAAGTGTTTTCTCCTAGACTCGGTCTGTTGGTGGCATTTCTGTGAGGACTCCTCAGTGCTAGCCTCCTGTGTGTGCCTGAGGCCCGTCACATCCCCTTTCCATCCCTCTGCTTTTCAGTCCCTGGATGTGATAAGATTTCTTGCTCATATCCACCTGTCCTTGCTCATTTCTGCCAGTTGGTTCAGAAGTTCTCATTCTTGTCCGCGGATGCCATTCCTTGCTTTGCCTCTTTGGAGATCCTAAAGGTCTCTGAAATCATTATTAGATTACTGCCTTACCTTCCTTTCTTTTGCAATGAATTCGTCTCTCTATTTTTTATTCTGTTGATTACCTTTCTTAGCCTTCACTTACCTCCTGTGCTTTAAAATTGATTTGTAACTCATCTTAGGTGAGCCAAGGTTGTGGAGACAGGGAGTGACGTGCGGTGCCTGAGGCCACAGGGCAGCAGCCACCTCCCAGGAATGTCCTGGATCCTTTCCTCCTTGGAGGTCCCCTGCCATATGCTCAGGGCCCAGATGGGGCCAGGCACAGCAGCAGGCAGCACATCTCCCTGTGGCCCAGCAGTTGGGGTGCTGCCAGCCCTGGTAGAGGTACTTGGTAAACAATTGTTACGGGAAGGTAGCAGGCGGGTTCTTAGGCTGGGGCTCTGGAGCCCATGGAACAGGCCGGCATGGCTGGAGCGGGTCCGAGTTCCTGCACTGTGCCCTGTTCGTTGCCCTTAGCCGCCCTCAGGAGCAGGTGTGCAGGGCACTGCCTAGAAGCTGGTGGGCACCACTGTGCAGCAGGCTCTGGGGGGTATAGCCACCATCTGGGCATGTGTACAGAGGGCCTTGATAGTGTGACATATGAGGAACCGGAAAAAGTGGGCTAGGAGATGTGTGGGTTTTGATTAAATGGAGTTTTAATTAAAGTGGCCGAGCTGGGGGAGGTGAGGAAGGGAGGCAGCATCAGCTTTGAGTCTGACCGTGTGGAATCCTATGGGGTTGTTCTTTTTTTTTTTTTTTAGATGGAGTTTCGCTCTTGTTACCCAGGCTGGAGTGCAATGGCGCGATCTCGGCTCACTGCAACCTCCGCCTCCTGGGTTCGGGCAATTCTCCTGCCTCAGCCTCCCGAGTAGCTGGGATTACAGGCACGCGCCACCATGCCCAGCTAATATTTTTGTATTTTTAGTAGAGACGGGGTTTCACCATGTTGACCAGGATGGTCTCGATCTCTTGACCTCGTGATCCACCCGCCTCGGCCTCCCGAAGTGCTGGGATTACAGGCTTGAGCCACCGCGCCCGGCGGGGTTGTTCTTTCGAGAGGCATTATGCACATTCCGCAACATGAGTCCCCTGTTTATATGGGACAGTGTTTGCCCTCTGCCCCAACGAGGGGCAGTCACAGCATTACATTATTAATATTTAATTTCCCCTCCTGGTTAGCAACAGATGACTCAAGGATTAATTAGATGTACAGGACCAACAGAGAGGGAAAGGAAATTGCCAGATCCTGGCCCCTCCCTGGGGCCTCTGACCTTCCGGTCACTCTGGGAGGCTTCTGAGGGAGGGGAGTGGAGGCCCAGGAGCCCTCCTGCTGCCATGCTGTGGGCACGGCCCCAGGCCTGCATCACCCTCCAGTGCTCTTGGTGAGGCCGGGAGAGGTCGCTTCACACCGTTGGGCCTCAGCTTCCTCATCTGTAAAATGGGCTTTGTGGGACCAGCAAGATCACAGATGACAGTCGTTTCCCAAGCTCCTAAGCAGGCTGCACAAGATGTGTTCGAGGGTCCAGTGCAGTGCTGGCCTCTAGGCAGGTGGCCCCTGGAACAGCGTATGGTTTGACAGCTCAGCGGTAACTGGCACCATGGCCAGCTGACTCTGCGTTGCTCCCCAGTTCTGGTCCACGACACATTAGTAGCCTGAAGGGGGAGAATTTACACTGCAGGAATCAGCCTGTAAGTCAGGGCACCCCCCGGCCTGGGGCCGATTTGCCAACCTGGGACTGGGTAGCTCCCAGCCTCCCCCCAGGAACGCACGTCTCCTCCCCTGCCTGCCCCAAGGGTGCCTCTGGCTCCACCGATCTGCTTTGCTCAGGGCGAAGAAAGGCACAGCCAAGAGTGGATTCTGGCTTGGCAGGGGCCCGGGTTGCCTGTGGGTCCGGGCAAGCCTTACCCAGGATGTGCTGGCAGCAGCTGGGAGAGCCTGCAGGAGCATGGTCCAGAGCTGCATCAGCCTTCTAGCCTGGGCTGGTCAGATTGGCAGAAGGCTGTGGTGTCCTTCAGCGCAGATGCCCTAGAGAGGGCAGTGGTGGGAGGCAGGATGCCTGGGTAGTGGCGGCTCTTCAGTGGTTCACTGGGCCTCACTGGGCAGTGGCCTGTCGCTGCTGCTGGTGGTGCTAAGTCTGGGAGGCCACCTTGGGGCCAAAGGCCAGGCACCGGGGTAGGAGGCAGCCCAGGTCCAGCACCAGCTTCACTTGTACCTGTTGGGCAGGGGCCTGTCGTGAGTCAGGGGGGCCTGAAGGCTGCTCGGGGAGAGGCCAGGAGCATCAGGGATAACTGTGTTCCGTGAGTGTGGCCAAGGATGGTGCCAGGAGACTTGGTCTGGCATGTCCCTGCCAGCGACACGCTTTGTGAGTGGCTGCCTGGCAAGTGCACCGTGCAAAGCAGGGATTTGGGAGGACCCAGCCCTTTCCAGCTGCTGCAGACCTCCGCTTCTGCAGGGTCTCTGGCTCTGCACTCTCCTCCCTCCTCTCACTTCTGTGTCAGAGGCTCCATTCCAAGCCTCCTCGTGGGGGCAAAAGGGCCCACTGGGTGCAGAACCTCCAGGCCCAGCTCTGGCTACAGCCTCTGCTGATCTTGTTTCAGCCTCCTGAGGTGCGGATGGTATTGGAGTTATAGGGACAGTTGGGGTCCATCTGTTTGAGCTCCATCACATGGACAGTGGGGCAGAGGGGAGCCTGGCCCTTTGAACAGGGCTTGGGAGCAGGAGTGACCTTCTTTCCCAGTTGCCAGGCCTGCTCCATCCCTCATGTCCTGGAGGAGAGAGAGATGAGGTGGCTGGTGAGTCCACATGAAAGGCAGACGGGTGGTGGCTGCTGGCTACACACCCATAGGGCCCCATGAGGGTTCAGGACTAGAGGGGGTAGATCTGGGGGCCTCTTAGCTCTCAAAGAGAGGTCGTTTAATGGGCAGAGGTCCGCTTGGACCCAGACCATTCACAGGTTGGAGGGGGACACTGGGAGTTGGGGCTGGGCTCAGGCCTGCTAGGGAACCAAGACTTCTCAGGGAGCCATTTAAAATCTGTTTCCTTCTCATAGAATCATGGGTGAGGGCCAGGTGAGGTGGCTCACACCTGTAATCCCGGCACTTTGGGAGGCCGAGGTAGGCGGATTACCTGAGGTCAGGAGTTTGAGACCAGCCTGGCCAACATGGTGAAACCCCGTCTCTACTAAAAATACCAAAAATTAGCTGGGCGTCGTAGTGGACACCTGTAATCCCAGCTACTCGGGAGGCTAAGGCAGGAGAATAGCTTGAACCCGGAAGGTGGAGGTTGCAGTGAGCCGAGATCATGCCACTGCCCTCCAGCCTGGGCAACAAGAGCAAAACCATCTAAGAAGAAAAAAAGGAATCATGAGTGAGAGCTGGCATGGTCCCTAGAAGTCATTTGGAGTCCAGCCACCTCACCGTATCAATGAAGAAACTGAGGCCCAGAAAAGAAAAGCATTCTTGCCCAGACTCCCCCAGTGAGTCCTGGCTCAGTACTTGCTTTCTGCCGGGGACCAAATTCTAGTCAGTCATTCCTGGTGTCAGACAGGCAGCGAAGCAGGTGGGGGAGAGGGCGTGGGAGGAGGGAGGTGAGGCGGCTCCCTCCGAGGGGAAGCTCATAGTCAGCTGCTGCAGCGCCGCCCCTGCTGTGACTGCAGCTGGCTGGCAGGGGCACCTGGAGGCAGCAGGTTGGGGCACAGTGTGAGAGGGCTTACCCTCTGCAGCAGTGGGAGACAGGACCAGGCGGCTCCCCACATCCGAGCTCCAGGGGATTTCTGGCCTGTCCTTTCATAGGGAGGCTGGTGTGCCTTAGGTGGGTGCTGGTAGTTCATGGGAGATCTAGTGGGATGGAGCGGGCCAGGGGCTGAGAAGCTGACCTGGTGAGAGACGGTGGGATCGGGAAAGCCTGGGCAGGGAGGGGCCATTCTGGGAGGGAGAGTCATGGGGCTGGCCGGGCTCCAGGACTCAGGGAAAAATCAGACTGCGGCTGATCCTCCGCCCCAAATCCAGAGTGGGAGGCACCGTGATCCCAATACCCAGAGCAGAGAATGCAGGGAGCCATGGATGGTACTGGGGTGAGCTGGAGTCCTGGCAGGGGCCCGGCCATGGTGCCATCTATCGTTCTGCAGAGCCTGGGAGAAGGGGCTGCCTCCTTGGGAGGGGTTTGTGTGAGGGTCGTAGCGGGAACTCTGAACCAGGGAAAGCAGACTAACTCAGTGACTTCTCGGGGGTCCTCCTCTAAAGGAAGGGTCAAAATCCTTCTTCTCCTGCCTCCTGGCTATGACCAGGGCAGACCAGGCACAGGCCAGGAGTCAGCCTGAGGATGGCCCCCGACCATCCTTGGGTGTCCACCATCCAGGGGGCCATCCTCAGGCTGACACCTGGCCTGTGGGTGGGGTGGGATCTGAAGCTGTAGGGTCTTCAGGGGCCTGGGTGGATGGGGGGCGAGGGGTGGCACTTTCCGCAGGGCCTCCCCTGTGCAGGGGGGTTCAGCTTCTCACTGCTGTCCCTTTGCAGGTGCCTCGGGAACCCTGAAGCTGGGCTGAGCTATGCTGCTGCTGCTGCCAGAGGCCCTGGAGCGGGCCTGGTTTTGGGAGACTCAGAGGCCTCTGTGAAAAAACCCTTGGAGACCACCCCAGCAAAGCTGCACTTGGCTCCTGTGAGGAGGGGGCTTAGGGGCCTGGGCCCCTCCGCCTGGGCCGGGCTGGGAGCCAGGCAGGCGGCCGGGCTGCAGCTATGGACCGTGAGCTGGCCCAGCCCACGTCCGTGCTGAGCCTCCCTGGCTGTGGCCGTGCCCATCATGGGCTCCTGGGTGTACATCACGGTGGAGCTGGCCATTGCCGTGCTGGCCATCCTGGGCAACGTCCTGGTGTGCTGGGCCGTGTGGCTCAACAGCAACCTGCAGAACGTCACCAACTACTTCGTGGTGTCGCTGGCAGCGGCCGACATTCGCGGTGGGCGTGCTCGCCATCCCGTTTGCCATCACCATCAGCACTGGGTTCTGTGCTGCCTGCCACGGCTGCCTCTTCATTGCCTGCTTCGTCCTGGTCCTCACACAGAGCTCCATCTTCAGCCTCCTGGCCATTGCCATTGACCGCTACATCGCTATCCGCATCCCGCTCCGGTGAGCAGGGTTGGGGTTACATCTGTACAGAGGCTGCCGGTGCCCAGGCTTTGGTCTGTGCCCTGGGCCAGGGTGAGCCTGGGGTCGGGGCCTGGGCTGCATTGTCGGCATGGGGATCTGGGGCTGGGGCCCTGGGCTCAGCAGGGTCTGCCCAGGGCCAGTCTGTGGCCAGCAGTAATGCCAAACCGACTGATCCCTGTGGGCTCAGGGTGGCCTGGTTCTCCCCGGGTTTCCCCAGGCTGCCCGAGACCAGCCGTGCTCTGGCTGTGGGCAGATGAGTGTGGCCAGGGTCTGGCATTAGGCTCAGTGGGGAGCTCTGGTCCCAGTGACCCACGTGCTGCCAGTGGATGTGTCTGGCCCATTCCTTACACATGAGCAAAACTCCCCACATGATGCTGGGGCAAGTGGGGAACCAGGGGAAACCACAGGACCTCAGTGCCAGGAGCCGCCCGCCACCTGCCTTCCCCCGGCTCCTCTGGGCCAGCCTCCCAGCATGCACATTAGGAAAATGACCCAGAGAGGGGAAGTGACTCGGCTGAATGCCACAGTGAGTCACTTGGACCTATATGCAAATTCTGTTGCTCCTTAGGTCACCAAGGACTCATGGTCTTGGAGACAGCCTGGGTGCTCAGGGTCTAGCTGTTGGAGGGGGGTTTTTATGGTGAATCTTTTGTGAAGTGACTTCAGCCAAGTATTGTGTAAATGAAGATTTTCCCGGAGGCTGAGTTTACTTGGCTTGGCTTCCACCTACCCAGGCCATAGATGAGGCTAAAGTGTGCATCCCTCCCTTCGGGGACCTTGAGGCCTTCTGCCCCACCTCCTGGCCCCTTCTCCACAGAGCTGGGTTCCACGGCCTGAGTGGTTGTGAGCCCTGAAGCCACGCATGAGGCTTGAGGTGGTCAGGGAGCAGGGGACCCCTTCCCCGCAGTGAATTATCTGAGACTGCTGTGGGTGCCTCCCTAAAGAGGAAGCCACAGCAGCCCCGCTCGGGCTGAGGGTGCCCCAGCAGGGAGGAGGACCCAGCTAAGTGAGCAAATAGAAATTCAGAGTGTCAAACCCCAGGGGCCTTAGAGGTCATTTCCTCTCATCTCCTGGATGGAAAATGAGCCTCAGAGAAGAAAGTCAGCTGTCTCCGGGCCACACAACGAGTTGGTAGTAGAGCTGGGGCTCGGCCTGGAAAAGAATGTGGCCCGATACCATTGGACTTCAGTCACTGGGGAGCAGTCATGGGCAGCCTGTCTCCCAGAGCCTGCACCAGGCAGCCATCACTGGCACCTGGGCTCGAAGTTGGAGCAGGAGCCACGTTCAGGCTGCTCCAGGGAAGGGAGGAGTCTGGACCTCACACTGCCCTGTCAGATGCTCTGTACCCCAGGAGAGGCTAGAACCCTTGGCAAAGGAGAAGGGGACCCTGGCCAGCTCTAACAGGGGCAGAATTAGAGGTTGTCTGACTCCCAAGGGCAGTCTCTGGGGAGCCTCCATCCCTTGCGCTGCAACAGGCAGAGCAGAGTTCAGGTTCATCCAGTGACAGCTCAGAACACGGAGGCCCAGGAGGGGGCCTGCCTGCAGGTGCCCAGAGGGGCCGGAGAACAGAGGACTGGAGCCCACTCAGGAAACCGAGCTGAGCCTATGCACTGACGGGAATGCTCCATGGGGAAGCAGAGGCTGAGCTCTCACTTTTTTCTCTGATTCAAAGGGCAACAACCTTCTAGGGAGTGATCAGGGCTGCTGTTTTCAATTTAAAGGAGCTTTTCTTCCCTTTTGTCTCTCCCTTTGCTTGTTTTCTGAGAGTTGAGAGCGCGACTCCCTAGGTAGTAGGACAGTATGGACTGCATGGTTGTGGGAAGTCAGCTGCCTCCCTCTGGGCCCATTTCCTCATCCATAGGATAAGTGTCTCTGCCCCTCTGAGCTCACAAAGGGGTTCTGACTGTCCAATGAATGGATGGGGTGACAGGGACCCTGAGGAGGGTTGGTGGGGTGGGGAGGGTGGGGATTCAGATCTTTGGGTTCAGAGCCATGGACCTGCCCCCTACCCATCTCATCCCATCTTTCTTGGACCTGGGCCTCAGTTCCACCCAGACCTTGAGCCATTTGACTCTGCTCCATGCGGCTCTGCAAGGCTTAGGCTGGTCTCTTCGGCAGGGAGCCCCTGGAGAGGATGACAGCGATGATGTTCATCCTCCCTTGTGGGCAGAGAGCTTTACGGTTGCCAAAGGATGTCAGCTCAGCCTCTCCTTCATCCTCTTGGCCTGCATTGTGGCCAGGGCGGATGTTCTGACCCTCCTGTTGCTCAAGAACTCATGGGGAGGCCAGAGGAGGGAGGACACACGAGTGTCTCCCGATGTGGATGGACTCCTGGCCCTTCAAGCTATTCCTGGCCTGCAGGTTCCTTCACTGTCCCGTTCCTCAAGGCCCCTGGGGCGCAGGGCTTGTGGAGGTGGCCACGTGGGCTCCCAAGAGCAAGTGGGGTGTGAGGGAATTTGGAGGTACTCCTGGCTGGCGCTGGAGTCGCAGCCTGGCTTGGCGTCCTCCTCCTCCTTCTCTGCTGGGAATCCAGCCGCCTCTACATGCCGTTTCCTGCTCCACAAGCCTGCCCAAATCTCCGTTAACTTTTTTTTTTTAAAGATTCAGTTTTGGAAAAATCTATCCTTTTCCAAGTACAGGGAACCGGTTGTGCTAGCACAGGACCTAGTCAAGGAACTTCTGAGAGACGGACGCCACAAGAGGGGCAGAGATGTAGCGCTCTGTCCCCAGAGGATGGAAATTCAGGGCGAGACACACGGGCATCTGTTCCCAGGGGACTTTTGTCACTGTCCCCTACCTCTCATAGCAGCCCCTGGCAGATGCCCTCACTGGTTGAGGAACAGGCCAAGGTAGAGTTGGCAGTTGGTGCTGAGGCCTTAAGTCCTATGACTTCTAAGAGCAGAATTAGGAGGGCTCCCTGGAGGAGGCACCACCCAGTCGGTCTCACAAGATGGGTAGGCAGGGTCTCATTGGCATGTGTGTGGTGGCAGGTGTGTCAGGAGCTGGGGGCAAAGCCTGGGACAAGGCCCTGAGGAAGGAATGAGCATGTGGGCACTGGGCCAAGGAAGGGTGGCCTGGCTGCCGAGTGACAGAGAGATGGACAGAGTGGGCAGGAAGGGTGGAGGCCAAGTCGGGCCTGTTCACGCCAGGGAAGGGATGTAGGTTTCCCCAATATGTCCGTGGCTCTTCAGTTCTTGGATCAATGACTCCTTGGGACAACTTAGGAAAGCCCCACCTACTCAGGGTGGTACACAGTGCACATAAAGCCCCAGCCGGAATCATGGAGCATATTCTTGGACCATAGGGTGAGCCCCCCAGTGTGAGTAATGGAGGTCCCCAGAAAGGGGCAGTCTGCAAACCCAGGGAAATGGCTGTAGAGAGCACCCCCAGAAGGGGTGGGCAGCTTTGGGACCCACATTCTCTGACATACCTGGGCACCCCGGAGTGGCAGCGTGTCATGCTAGACAGCCCTGGCATCCCTTCCAGCTGGATGGTCAATGTTTGAGGTCTAGGAGGGCAAGAGGTGAGTGTGTGAGTCACAGATGCAGCCTGGGGACACTGCTGCTCCTGGCCGAGGCTCAGCCGTGATTCCATCCAGGCTGGTGCTGTCCCCGCCCCCTGGGCACCAGGTCCAGGGCTCTCAGGCTATGGGGCTTGCTTTTGATTACGCTTAGTCTATTTTTTTTTAAATGAGCAATAGTTGCCCACGCTAAAATATTAAAAAGGAACAAGAGTATAGTATAGTAGAAAGTTGTCCTCCACACCCCCTGCCCCCACCCCCAGTTCCCTCCCTGCAAGGCCATGTTAAGAATCCTTTCAGAGATATTCTTTGCATATATAGGCAAGTGCTATTAATGCATGTTTTGTTTCTGTCCCCACACGGGGCTTTCTTTGCAGAGTGCAGTGGAAGACTCCCCTTGTGGGTTCCCTCTTCTGTACAAGTAAACAATTGGACAGACCGGGATTTCCATACTGTGTTCCCAGAAGCCTTCAGGTTGGCTCTGCTGGCCCCACCAGTTCACTGATTCAATAAACATTTAATAAGCCCCTTCCCTTCCCCCGCAGCTTCACCTCTGTGACTGCCTGGGAATGTGGGCGACAAGGTTTGCTGCTGAGAACAGTCTGAAAACCAGCAAAGCAGGTGGCCCCAGGGCCCAGGCAGCTCTGCAACACCCCTGTGGCTGCTTGGCTCTGCAACACTGCCTCCAACGACAGGAAACTCACTAGTGCCTGAGGCAGCCCCTCTCTCCTGTGAACCACTCAGCTGAAAAACTCTCACCCATCCTGAGCCACCATTGGCTTCCCTGTAATTTCCACCCAGTGATTCTCCATTCTGCCCTTAGGGGGCAGTGCTGACAGGTCCAGGACTTGGTCCCATTTTACAAATGAAGAAACTGAGGCTTAGAGAGATGAAGTTTTAGAACATTCCTGTTTACAGGGCCAGAAACCAGGGAGGGATATGCTTTTCTCAGGAATGATGTCAAAATTCATACAGCTTCCCAGTCAATGGGGACCATATCAATGACTATTTGCAGAGCACTTAAACAGTGCCTGGCACAGAGTCAGTGCGATGTAAGCATCAGACGTGAGAATGAGAAGCCTGAGAGTTCATGTTTGAGAGTCCGACAGGAGGCAGGGCAGTGCCAGCTCCCTGTTGCTTGGCAGCAATAGGCAAATCTATAACCCTCCTCCTGTGGAGAGCCTGTTGCAGGTGACCAAGCCCCCACGGAATAGAGCTGAGGATCTCCTGAGCATGGGCTTGCCCAGTGACTGTTTGGATTCAAAATTGGCCCAAGAGATTCAGAACAGACAGACTCGCTTTGGCCTGAGTTAGCTCTGGGCTCTTGGAATGTCCACAGCAAGTCCATTCCTCTCCACAGGCCTCAGTTTACCCATCTGTAAAGCGAGAGGACTGGACCACCTAAAAGATCAGAAGCCACAGGGCTTCTCTTTTTTAATTTGAATTAGTTGACAAAATTTAAATCTTGGGAGATTTTACCCAGAAAACCGTCTCCCCAGCCCCACCTGAGACCTGGTAACAGTGGGTGCACATTTTGCCTGACAGCGAAGACCAGCCCCACTGGCTGTCTCCTGTGTGTACTACATGGAGGCGCCTGTTTGCCACTTGTGGATGAGGCGGTTTCTGTGGATGTTCCCAACTCCGGAGTTAAGTGGAGCACATTTTTCCTTGCACCTTCTGAGTGTCCCTGTCTCAGAGCTGACGTGCAGAGATGGATGTAGGAAGGCACTGCCCTGAGGTGCACTTTGGTAGGAAACTTCCCTGAGCTCTCTATCCCAGACTTGAAGGATGGGTAGGGTTTCTGCCAGGTAGAGGGGAGTGTAATCTGGTCTTGCCAGAATCAAAACTATTCAACGCAAGTCATCCCTCAGTGATTATCAAGGTTGCCTTCCTAAATTAGGGAGACTTTTTTTCATTGTCCATTCTTTTATGAAATCTATGCCACCTTTCCTGCAGGGCTGAGGTCTGCTTCCTGGATGGCAGATCCAGCCATTTCCCGAGTATGAGGCTGGGAATTGGTGGGCTTGGATTTCTGTCTGGCTCTCACTTCGGAAGACTGAGTGATTTCGGGCAGTTTACCGTCCCCTGGACCTCAGAATTTCCTTACGAATGTTAAGATGGCCATGTAAATGTTAACACGTAATCCTCTCATTTCTCTCCAGAGGGCTGTGGATGGGTTTGGAGGGGAGAAATGGCATCTCCTTTGGCCTGGGGCCTCCTCCCCTCTCTTACCCACCATGCTGCCTCTCCCCAAAGGCTTCTGGAGACCCCAAGTCAAATGGGGAAGAGAAGACAGGGGTGTGGAGCACAAGAGGCCTAGATCCTCCACAGGTCAGATGTGGCCGGTGCTACCCACAGCCAGTGAGGACGCCGTCCAGACCCTTCCCACTCTCTAAAGGGAAACGTGTCATAATCTTAACCAAGATCAACCATGACACATTTGCCTTTAGAGAAAAATTGTTTTCCCTCAAAAAATCATGCGTTAATTCCCTCCAACCAAACTAAGTCCCAGGACTACGAAGACTACTTAATGACCATCTGGACGTTTGTACTTGGGTTTCCATTTCTGGGGTGACTGCTCTCCTGTTACCTCCCAGCAGCCCATGAGAAGGCAAGGCATACTCCTTCCACTTAATGGAAGAGGATGCCGAGGTGAGGCAGCAGGAATGACTGGTCCAAGACCTTACAGCCAGTAAATAGGGAAGAAGCTGCTGCTCTGGGGTCCTGAACTCTTGGCCCTGCTTAACCCTGGCTTCTCAGATCTCTGACGCTGGTGTCTTCTCCCCAGGTACAATGGCTTGGTGACTGGCACGAGGGCTAAGGGCATCATTGCCATCTGCTGGGTGCTGTCATTTGCCATCGGTCTGACTCCCATGCTGGGTTGGAACAACTGTGGTCAGCCTAAGGAGGGCAGGAACCACTCCCAGGGCTGCGGGGAGGGCCAGGTGGCCTGTCTCTTTGAGGACGTGGTCCCCATGAACTACATGGTGTACTTCAACTTCTTTGCCTGTGTGCTGGGGCCCCTGCTGCTCATGCTGGGTGTCTACCTGCGGATCTTCCTGGCAGCGCGACGACAGCTGAAGCAGATGGAGAGCCAACCTCTGCCGGGGGAGCGGACACGGTCCACACTGCAGAAGGAGGTCCACGCGGCCAAATCGCTGGCCATCATTGTGGGGCTCTTTGCCCTCTGCTGGCTGCCCCTTCACATCATCAACTGCTTCACCTTCTTCTGTCCCGACTGCAGCCACGCCCCTCTCTGGCTCATGTACCTGGCCATCGTCCTCTCCCACACCAATTCGGTTGTGAATCCCTTCATCTATGCCTACCGTATCCGCGAGTTCCGCCAGACCTTCCGCAAGATCATTCGCAGCCACGTCCTGGGACAGCAAGAACCCTTCAAGGCAGCAGCTGGCACCAGTGCCCGGGCCCTAGCAGCTCATGGCAGTGATGGAGAGCAGGTGAGCCTCCGTCTCAACGGCCACCCCCCAGGAGTGTGGGCCAACGGCAGTGCTCCCCACCCGGAGCGGAGGCCCAATGGCTACGCTCTGGGGCTGGTGAGTGGAGGGAGTGCCCGAGAGTCCCAGGGAGACACGGGCCTCCCAGACGTGGAGCTCCTTAGCCATGAGCTCAAGGGCGTGTGCCCAGAGTCCCCTGGCACAGAGGACCCCCTGGCCCAGGATGGAGCAGGAGTGTCCTGATGATCCCTGGAGTTTGCCCCTTCCTAAGGGAAGGAAATCTTTATCTTTCTGGTTGGCTTGACCAGTCATGTTGGGAGAAGAGAGTGCCAGGAGCCCTGAGGGCAGCTGGTTCCTGCTTTGGACTGAGAGGAGAGAGCCCCAGGCTGGAGCAGCATGAGGCCCAGCAAGGAGGGCTTGGGGTCGCAGGAAGCAGACGTTTCATGCTGTGAAGCCCTGGACCAGGTGGGGGCCGCAGCACCAGCAGCATCTTCGCTGGCCAGGGCCCAGCCCTCCACTGCAGAAGCATCTGGAAGCGCCACCTTGTCTCCACAGAGCAGGCTGGGCACAGCAGACCGGCTTGGCCCCGAGGCTGGGGAGTGGCTCCAGCAGCCGCCTGCCACCCACCCACCACTCTCCCTAGACAATCAAAGGGTTCAGGAGCTGCTGGGCCCAGAGGTGACATTTGACTCTTTTCCAGGAAAAATGTAAATGTGAGGAAACCCTTTTGATTTTATTACCTTTTCCTCCCTGGCTGCTGGGTCTGCTGTCGGTCCTGCTGCTAACCTGGCACCAGAGCCTCTGCCTGGGGAGTCAGGCAGTCCTCTCCCGCTGTCATGAGCTGCCATCCACTTCTCAGTCCCAGGGCCATCTCTCGGAGTGACAATGCTGGGATCAAGGACAGGGAGTTACAACAGAGCAGTGCCAGAGCATGGGCGCAGGCCCCAGGGGAGAGGTCGGGGCTGGCAGGCCACTGGCACGTGCCTAAGCAGCGCGGAGCTGCCTGGCGAGAGGCCTTGTCTAACTGCCTTTTCTTCTAAAGGGAACTTTTTTTTCTGAGATAAAATAAAAATGAGCCACATCGTGTTTTAAGCTTGTCCAATGAGAATGGTGTCCGAGTTCATTTCCTACTCCATAGCCAGACCTGTGCACACAGAGAGGCATGTGTTGTGTATGTGTGAGAGTGTGTGTATGTGCAGACACCTGCCTGCCCCAGGGGGCCTCCCCAGGCTCCTGTCCTTGAGGGGACAGGTGGCCTGGCTGCACCACAATCCAACCTGCATTTCTATGAGGGCCCACAGAGGCTGCAGAGAAGGGGCTTTCCCCAGCAACTCCCTCCCTCATTACCCTCCTAACATCTTTAAGGGAAGATCTCTTCATATGTCACCTCAGAACTGTGACCCCCCACCCCTGCCCTGCTCCACCCCCCAGCAGAGGCCACAGAAGTATCTGGAAACAGATCTGGGCAGGGGCTATACTTCCTTCCACTAGAATCCCCCTCCTTCTATTGCCAAGAGAAGAAACTAGCAGGGAGGGGTGTGTTTGCTCTGATCCTGGCCTCAGGGGCCTCCTGCCTGAGGAGATGGTGCCATCTTTCTGTGATGGTGAAGTCTGAGGCCCAGAAGGCAGTTAGCACCTGCCCCTGCCTGAGGCTGGCAGGGAGCTGATTGTCCTGGTTTGGTTTCACTCACTCTGGGACACCCAGAAGGACTGTGAGAACTTCAAGGGTGATCCTCACACAGCCCTGGGAGCCCCGTTTTACAGATGATGAACAAGCCCAGAGAGGTTACATGCTTGTTCCAGGTCACACAGCTAGTAAGTGGCAGAAGTGAACTTAGAACCCAGGTCTGAGCCAGGTGCAGTGGCTCCAGCCTGTAATCCCAGCACTTTGGGAGGCTGAGGCGGGTGGATCACGAGGTCAAGAGATCGAGACCGTCCTGGTCAACATGGTGAAACCCCGTCTCTACTAAAAGTACAAAAAATTAGCTGGGCATGGTAGCGCGTGCCTGTAATCCCAGCTACTCAAGAGGCTGAGGCAGGAGAACTGCCTGAACCCAGGAGGCGGAGGTTGCGGTGAGCCGAGATCGCACCATTGCACTCCAGCCTGGGTAACAAGGGCAAAACTCTGTCACAAAAAAAAAACAAACAAACAAACAAAAAAAACCCAGGTCTGACTGCAAAATCCCTGTACTTTTTTTCTCATTAACTTATGAACTATTTGAACCAAACCAAAAAGTATAAAACATCATGTTCTGCCGGGCGCGGTGGCTCAAGCCTGTAATCCCAGCACTTTGGGAGGCCGAGGCGGGTGGATCACGAGGTTGAGAGATCGAGACCATCCTGGTCAACATGATGAAACCCTGTCTCTACTAAAAATACAAAAAATTAGCTGGGCATGGTGGCTTGTGCCTGTAGTCCCAGCTACTCAGGAGGCTGAGGCAGGAGAATTGCTTGAACCCAGGAGGCGGAGGTTGCGGTGAGCCAAGATCGCGCCATTGCACTCCAGCGTGGGTAATGAGTGGAATTTCGTCTCAAAAAAAAAAAACAAAAAAACCAGGTCTGACTGCAAAATCCCTGTGACTTTTTTTCTCATTAACTTATGAACTATTTGAACCAAACCAAAAAGTATACAACATCATGTTCTGCCGGGCGCGGTGGCTCAAGCCTGTAATCCCAGCACTTTGGGAGGCCGAGAGATCGAGACCATCCTGGTCAACATGGTGAAACCCCGTCTCTACTAAAAATACAAAAAATTAGCTGGGCATGGTGGCACGTGCCTGTAATCCCAGCTACTCAGGAGGCTGAGGCAGGAGAATTGCCTGAACCCAGGAGGCAGAGATTGCGGTGAGCCGAGATCGCGCCATTGCACTCCAGCCTGGGTAACAAGAGCGAAACTGTCCCCAAAAAAAAAAAAAAAAAAAAAATCATGTTCTACTAAAAATAGAAAAAATTAGCTGGGCATGGTGGCACGTGCCTGTAATCCCAGCTACTCAGGAGGCTGAGGCAGGAGAATTGCCAGAACCCAGGAGGCGGAGGTTGCGGTGAGCCGAGATCGCGCCATTGCACTCCAGCCTGGGTAACAAGAGTGAAACTCGGTCTCAAAAAAAAACATATCATGTTCCCACTGCTCTACTTAGGAAATGAAACATCACTACAGATGGTGCGTCTGGCCCCTGCCCGTCATCACCCTGACTCCCAAGCCTGGAAACAACCACTTTCCTGAATTTAATTTCTTTCCATTGCACTTTTCTTTTTCTCGAGATGGAGTCTCGCACTGTCACCCAGGCTGGAGTGCAATGGCGTGATCTCGGCTCACCGCAACCTCCGCCTCCTGGGTTCAAGTGATTCTCCTGCCTCAGCCTCCCAAGTACCTGGGACAGCCTGGCTAATTTTTGTGTGTGTGTGTGTTTTTTTTTTTTTTTTTTTTTTGAGACGGAGTTTCGCTCTTGTTACCCAGGCTGGAGTGCAATGGCGCGATCTCGGCTCACCGCAACCTCCGCCTCCTGGGTTCAGGCAATTCTCCTGCCTCAGCCTCCTGAGTAGCTGGGATTACAGGCATGTGCCACCATGCCCAGCTAATTTTTTTGTATTTTTAGTAGAGACGGGGTTTCACCATGTTGACCAGGATGATCTCGATCTCTCGACCTCATGATCCACCTGCCTCAGCCTCCCAAAGTGCTGGGATTACAGGCTTGAGCCACCGCGCCCGGCTTTTTGTGTTTTTAGTAGATACCAAGTTTCACCATGTTGGCTAGGCTGGTCTTGAACTCTTTTTTTTTTTTTTTTTTTTTTTTTTTTTTTTTTTTTGAGCCGGAGTTTCGCTCTTGTTACCCAGGCTGGAGTGCAATGGCGCGATCTCGGCTCACCGCAACCTCCGCCTCCTGGGTTCAGGCAATTCTCCTGCCTCAGCCTCCTGAGTAGCTGGGATTACAGGCACGCGCCACCATGCCCAGCTAATTTTTTGTATTTTTAGTAGAGACGGGGTTTCACCATGTTGACCAGGTTGGTCTCGATCTCTCGACCTTGTGATCCACCCACCTCGGCCTCCCAAAGTGCTGGGATTACAGGCTTGAGCCACCGTGCCCGGCCTGGTCTTGAACTCTTGACCTCATGACCTGCCTGTCTCAGTCTCCCAACATGCTGGGATTATAGGTGTGAGTCACAGCAGCCAGCCATTTCCATCGTACTTCTTTACACTTTTAGCATATGGATGCCTGCAAAACTATCCCAGAACCAATTATCTCACTGCCGTATCAGAGGTCCGCTACACTGGCTGCACAGGAGAAATACGTAGGAAGCTTTGATCAGCACCAAAGCCTGAGCCCTTTGCCTCAGAGACACTGGATTAATTGGCCAGGGCAGATCAAGTAATTCCCCAGGGGGTTCTTATGGACAGCCAGGACAACCTATAAGGAACGGCTGATACAAATGCACGGAGTCCACCCCATCCACACCAGCTTCCTCCCTCCTAGACTCTGCGCTGTCTGTGGGCTGAGGGTGGAACCGTGGCCAAGGTACGCCTGAGGAGACCAAGAGCACAGAAGGTGCCAGTCCTTATGAGCCATTGGTAGGAAGAGGCCTGAAGGAGAACACAAAGGCATGAAAGAATGAGACCTCATCTCTCCAGCCTTTTCTGAGACCTTGGGAACCAGGCTTTGAGTGCTGAGCTGGAGGTGTATAGGCTTTGGGGCCGAGAGGACAGGGCCAGGAGCTCAGGAAAGGCCTCTAGGTACAAATGGGCCCTAGTCCTCCCAGGGCCACCTCCTGCCCAGTGGTAGAGCCTAGGCCTCCTCCTGTCCTCAGAAGCCTATGGTCCCACGTCCATACCCACCCCATGTGGGTTCCCACCGTCAGCAGGCCTGAGCGTAAGCACATGTGCAGACATGAACACATGCATCATTCCTGACCATAATACATGTGTGCACATACAAGCATGCTAGTGTACAGAGCCCACCTCAGCAGAAACAAGCGCCTGCAGCAGCTGCATGAGGGAAATGTGAAGGCTGGTGAAGGGCATGAGCAACAGCACAGCGCCATGGGGTGCAGACAGTGCCCCCCAGTCCACACCCTGCAGCTCTGTCAAAGGGCCCCTCTCTACCCTCTCCCTGCTCTTCCCAAATGGCTGGGGGTAGATGGCATGCTTCATTCAGGCCTGTCCCGCGTATGAGGGTCCCATCGCAGATCCATGTTCTCGATAGCCCCAGCCCCTCTCTACAGCAAGTGTGGCCAGGCCACAGGGAAGCCGGAGAGCAGGGGTCTGGCTTAGGCTGGGTCTCGGCTCCTCACTGGCCCTCACAAGAGACAAGCTCTCCAGAGAGCTCCCTTTCACCCTCCTCTAGCCACCCCTCCTGAAACCCTACCTTAAGCTTGCTGGATTAAGTCCCTTTCCTCTGGGAGGCATCACGCAGGGGCTCAGGGAGCTGAGTAGAGCCACAGTTGTGTGTGCTGACCAGGGGACAGCAAACCACAGCAGGGCAGGGAAGAGCGGTCACCTGGGTAAATGACAGGAAATGAGCTGCTGATGCCCCTGCATCTTCTGGGACTCGGTATCCCAGAAATGGGAAACTGGCCTTTTGAACTGTTACGGGGAAACAAGAACCCAGGGCAATCCGACTGCTCAGCGCAGCCACCCCTGCTCCTGGGGCCGCAGGGAAGAGCACTTTGTGCCTGGGATGCCGCTCCCCCGACCTGCGATGCTATGCCACTCCCCTGCATGGCTGCTGCTGCGGCTCTTGTCGCAGCTGGACACTGTCCCCTGAGCTCCAGTGCCAGGCAAGTGTTTTCCAAGCATGCTGGGCAATGCCCCTCTGCTAATGGGAGAAGCTGCTTTAGAGAGGACAGAACTTAGGAAGACCCAGGTGTGCTGGGAGGCAAGTGGCTCCCTCCCTGACCCTTACTGCTCCGTGTGTAAGATTCCCACCTTCTCCTCCTCCCCATAACCATAACACTCCCTCCAAAGGTGCCCCTCATTGCTGCTGTCACTCATCATTAGCAGTCACTGTCATTGTTAGGACAGCCCCTGTCAGGCTGCAGAGCTGAGGGAGGGGGCAGAAGAATGTCAGATGACTCACACAACCTCAAAAGAGGGGGATGGACACACAGAACCTAGCTACAAGAAACACCTTGTGAGACTGGTTCAACCCTTTCCGTTTCCAGAGGAGAAAGAGCAGGTCAGCAGAGCTTCCTGACAAGTCCCTCTGCTTCCCACTAGTCAGGCTTGCACGGGGGCAGGCCTAGAAGAGAGGCTAGGCCAGGGAGTCAGCATGAGGCTGGGCAGGTCACAGGGGCAGCCAACCCAGGGTCCTCTGAGGGAGGTGGGGAAGGCTTTGCATGGAGCCATCCACGCTTCTTTGCCCTGTCCAAGGAAGTGTTTGTTTTGGGGAAGAGGGGAGTGACTGTCAAATCAGCCATCTGGACTGTCACCTAACGACAAGCTAAGCCCTCAGATCGTGCTGGCTGGACCTGAGCCCTATCTCCTGGCTCTCTATTCTTCTCCCAACCACTTAATGAGCCCTTGCTGATGCACACTGAGCCGGGGGCAGGGCACAGGGAGCCAACAACTGAGAATATGCCCAATGGAAGGAATAAGCCTTTGAAACAGACACAAGCTCTCAGCCGAGGAGAAAGCCACACCCCAGTGGGGAGCCCGGATGGGCTTCACAGAGGGGGCCACGCCAAGCTGGCCTTTCAAAGGGCCCCCATCAGCTCCAGGGCCCCACCTCTCCAAGGTGTTGGTCAGGAAATAAGAACAAGGAGGGGCTGTGCAAATCTGCGCCTGATTTTCATCTGCCTACACTGAATTATGCCATCCATTTGGAGGCAATTTTCAAGTTAAAATGTTGTCAGAAGGTTGTCACAGTTTTGATCTTTCTTTTCTGTTCTTTCTCAACCCACCCACATTTTCTAGTTAGGTTGGAAAGGGGAGTGAGGGGGATAGAGCCTGGTTTATATTCAGAGATTTCTGGAATTGTTAAAGATAGATGAGACTTTTAGAAATTATCAAGTTTTCTCTTAGGATAATTTAGTCCCAGTTCAATGTCACAATTGTTCTCTCAGTTCCAGAACTTTTAGGGGAAATGGAGGCATCTGGTCAGGCATCCTGCAGTTATCCCCAGGGTGTCTCTGGGGTTTCAGCTCGATTCTCTCTGCTGCCTAGTTCAGAGGTGCCAAATAATCCCACCACTCCCTCCTTCCAACCACTACCCTGCTCCACCGACTGCTGAAAACCCCAGTTTCAACCCCTGGCTTTGTCATTGACTTCTTTGACAGGACAAGTTACTGCCTGAGCTGCCACGCCTACTTTTAGATAAAATGAATTAATAAATGCGGGCCAGGCACCGTGGCTCACACCTGTAATCCCAGCACTTTGGGAGGCTGAGGCAGGTGGATCACCTGAGGTCAGGAGTTCGAGAACAGCCTGGCCAACATGGTGAAACCCTGTCTCTACTTAAAATACCAAAAAAATTAGCCAGGCATGGTGGCAGGTGCCTGTAATCCCAGCTAGAATCGCTTGAGCCCGAGAGGCAGAGGTTGCAGTGAGCGGAGATCGTGCCACTGCACTCCAGCCTGGGCAACAGAAGTGAAACACCATCTCAAAAAATAAATAGATAGATAGATGTGGCAGGGCTTTGGAAGGTATATGGAACACAAATGCCCAGGATCATGATGATCATTATTTTTACTTTTTAATTTTTTTGAGATGGAGTCTTGCTCTGTCACTCAGGCTTGAGTAAGTGGCACAATCTCGGCTCACTGCAACCTCTGCCTCCCAGGTTTAAGCAATTTTCCTGCCTCAGCCTCCCGAGTAGCTGGTACTACAGGTACATGCCATCATGCCCAGCTAATTTTTGTATTTTTAGTAGAGACCGGGTTTCGCCATATTGGCCAGGTTGGTCTCAAACTCCTGACCTCATGATCCACCTGCCTCAGCCTCCCAATACGCTGGGATTACAGGCATGAGCCACTGTGCCCGGTGATGATGATCATTATTGCCGTAATAAATCCATTCTCAGTTCAGAATTCAGAAAAATAAGAGGGTAACCAATCAATAGCTATAGTGTTCTTGGTATCAGAGAGTGGAATGGAGGCTGGAAGTGAAGGAAGACAGGGTGGTGGGGGAGAGAGCTACTGACCACTTTTTATATTCTGCTCAGTGACATTGTCCAGCCATTGCCAGAGGGAGGAATGTGGTGGGTGTGAGTTCAAGCCAGGCACCTGGAAGCCCCTGATCTTGGGGTGCCAGAAGGTGGGTGTGGAAAGGCAAGGGTCATTGATTATGGATCATTTACTTTCTTCAACTTTAGGCTGTCCCATCTGTTTATGAAAGTCTAGAAACTAGGAAAATTTAGGCTTATCTAAGAGGCGAACGGAGAAGGGACACAGTAAATGTCTGGGCTGACAGAGTCGGGATTCAAAATGACCTCAGAAGGCTAGACAGATAAAACTGAGCCAGGACTGGTATAAAGTCCTGCTTAGGTCGGGCGCGGCGGCTCACGCCTGTAATCCCAGCACTTTGGGAGGTAGAGGTGGGCAGATTACTTGTGGTCAGGAGTTTGAGACCAGCCTGGCCAACATGGTGAAAACCCACTTCTACTAAAAATACAAAACTAGCCAGGCGTGGTGGCGCACGCCTGTAGTCCTAGCTACTCAGGAGTCTGAGGCAAGATATCACTTGAATCCGGGAGGTGGAGGTTGCAGTGAGCCAAGATCACACCATGCAGGGAGGAGTGGGAGGAAAGAGAGACCCAGCCTACTACCAGCTCAGGTCAAAACAAACGTGGACACTTCAGTTACTAGGTTCAGCACTGGCTAACACCGTGGGACAGGCTGGGAAAGAAGCAACTGCAGCCTCAAGCTGTGTTCACATCCTAGTTACCAGGAAGTGAGTCCCAGGCTTCAGGGACTCACCAGGTCCCCAGTCAAGGCAGGAGACAGGCTTATTTCTCAACACCACACCTGCTCATGGACAAACTGAAATGAGCCGTTTGTCATTTTGTGCCTGCAAAATGGTAACCTCCCAATGACACTCAATGAATTAACAAGTAGCCAAAGGAAAGGGATCAAGATAGGGAGCATCCAGAAACTGAAAATGGTTGGAGGATGTGAGGTTGAAGACGACTTAGGGAGAGCCATGGTGAACAGACCAGATGATGGAAACAGCTTGCCATGTGCTATTCCAAAAGGCACAACTGGGCTCACAGAAGCTCTGGCAGAATAACTAGTTCATGTTAAAGCCCACCGAGATGCAACAATTTGAGATTCATGGCTGGGTCTTCCCTGATCCAAGGACAGTTATGTAAGGACATTCAGGCATTTGCTGGCCTATAAGAGGCTTGGACCCCCCTTATTGAGGAAACTCCTCTGTTCTTTGAGGGCACAAGGCTAGTGAAGATGGCTCATCTTTTGTGGCCAGAATTGTCTTCAGGTCAGTTCATGGAAGCCCAAAGCAGGTATGTGGCGTAAGACAGAGGATTAGGAGGAGGGAATGACAACGTATACATTAAAAAGGGCACGGTGACGCATATGTATAATTCCAGCATTTTGGAAGGCCTAGGCAGGTGGATCACCTTAGGTCGAGAGTTTGAGACCAGCCTGACCAACATGGAGAAACCCCATCTCTACAAAAAATACAAAATTAGCCAGGTGTGGTGGCGCATGCCTGTATAATCCCAGCTCCTCAGGAGGCTGAGGAAGGAGAATCGCTTGAACCCAGGAGGCGGAGCTTGCAGTGAGCTCAGATCAAGCCATTGCACTCGGCCTGGACAACAAGAGCAAAACTCCATCTCAAAATAAATAAATAAAAAATAAAACGTCACCTGCTGGGTGGGGTGGCTCATGCCTTAATCCCAGCACTTTTGCAGGCTGAGACGGATGGATCACCTGAGGTCAGGAGTTTGAGACCAGCCTGACCAACATGGTAAAACCCTGTCTCTACCAAAAATACAAAAATTAGCTGAGTGTGGTGGCATGTGCCTGTAATCCCAGCTACTCAGGAGGCTGAGGCAGGAGAATCACTTAACCCAGGAGACGGAGGTTGCAGTGAGCCAAGATCACACCACTGAACTCCTGCCTGGGCAACAGAGCGAGACTGCTCTCAAACAAAAAAAGTCACTACCTGAATCAAAATGGTGGGACCTGGTACAGATTGAAAAATATCAAAGAGGCCCAGAGTCCTGTGTTAACAGAATATACTCCAAGGCCTAAAATTCCTCCTTAGATGACAGCAGTGTTACCCAAGTACACTTCACAGCAAATGTGAAGTACATTTGCTGTCTGGGGAGGGTACCGTGATGATTTATTGGGTCAACATGTGGACATCCGGCAGAGAAGCCTGGGGGGAGCTGAGACACAGGGTAGAGAAGGCCTCCTGCAGCCCAGGGTTAAGCAAACTCTGCCAACTTTACAAAATGCTCTCACCCAAGGCATGCCAGAGGATGAAGCAGGGGAGGGCCCTCACCCGCTTCCTCCATCCTACCCCATACTTCCTGTGGCC